AGGATGGTGATGGTGTTGATGATGATGTTGGAGAAAGGGTTGAGGAAGCCAAAGCAGAAGTCGCCACCGACATAGAGTAAGCGCGCCTAACGTTGAGCCGCTCCAGTGCCTTAGAGTAGGATTTGTGGATCTTGTCAAGGAGACGGAATCTGGACTTGGACTATTCATGGGGACTAGGTTACTCACACTCAAAGCCGGGAGAGTAGATCCAGTGATCCGCATGGCTGCTGGACACCAAACCATTGCATCTGGTGATCTCACTCACCGATTGGGTTGTGTTTGGGTGGGGGATTGAAACCAACATAGCTCTCTGGCGACGTGAGACGCGAGGAAGAGATGGGGAGAAGGGGAAAAGGAAAGTATTCCATGTAGGACCTCACTTCGGTCAGCCGGGCCCATGAGCCCAAATAAAGAAAATCAACAAAAATACAGCACTCTATATACAAGCTAACTAGCTTTTGTTATTAGGCTCCCTTGTTATTATTACTATTTCCTCTGTCCTCAAATATAAGGTATCCAAGCCATTTAGGACATATTATATGGTAGAACAAAGGACACATATAACACTCCCTAATTACTATATTTGGTTAGTGATGGATACTAATGGTAGGTATACATGTGAATGTTGCTTTTTTAGGATTTTTTCACATAGAATCTCTTATAATTTTGGACAAATTTGAATGCATGGATACCTTATATTTTAGGACAAAGGAAGTGTCAGAATATTTAGCTCCGGCAATACCTAGTAGCTAATCATGTAAGATAAATCAGACGGCAGCACATGAGACATAAGATTTATACTGGTTCAGGTACGTGGTTCCCCAGTCCAGTAGGGGCTCATGCTGCTTCTCTGTATTCGTATGCTAGGTTACAGGTGCTGCTGCTCCTCCTAGCTATGCGCTAGAATGAAGAGGATGGGATCCCGATCGTGAGGTCCCTGTGTAGGGGGGTAGGGTTACCATAGGAGCGATCGGCTAATAGATTGGATTCCTAATTCGTTATACAGGATGCACAACAGATTGATTTATTCCTATCGTCTAGATAAGATGCCAGATATCGTCGCTGTATCTTGGCTTCCAAGCTAGTGGATTCGCCTTTCCTTCTTGGGCTTCGTGTTGTCCTTAGCTTAGAAGACAAGCATGGGCCGAGTATATGGACAAGGGTACCCTAGGCCCATATATCCGGTAGGATGTAAAACATTAGGCGTCCAAAGGTCCTGACCATTTGAACATTAGGCGCCCTTCAGGCACTCTAGATCTCAGACCATCTTGTTTTTTAGTGATCAAGTTGATTGCAATTTAGCAATGAATTGCTTTGCCACAGAATGTTTGTATCAAATTGTAAAATGACAGCACACACTGGCACCAAAGATTAATTTGTTAGGGTTATAAAAAATAATCTGAACTGTAATTATCATGTGATTTTACCATTAACAAAATATGCTGATCAATTATTTTTGTTTGGTTCCTGATATTATTGGATAGAATGTTACAGATGGGTTCTATGTATTGCGACTACGACTGTAATTTTTGATAGGTTTAAAAGATAGTTATCTATCCTGATTTCTTGAATGAAGGCAATATTTTAATGTTTTGGCAGCTAAAAATAGATAAATGTGTCTGCTCTAGACAGCTAGATATTCATATGTATGCATATGGAGTGATAAATATAATTTATTTCTTCAGCTTAATTTGCTCTGTTTGTCGTCACCGGTGCTAGATCCATGTCTTTCCTAGGTATAGGATCATGTGCTCGAACGCTAAGCAAGGAACCACATCAAATCAAAATCCATCTGAGTGCCTTCTCAGTCATTGCATCGAACAACTTGAGTTCATCATTGATAACACCACTCCAAGCAGACTAGGAGACATCAGTGAGCAGAATCGCCCCAATCCTTCAATCCTGCACACCGAGCAGCTGCCATAGGCCAACCAGAGCCCACCTGCTGGCGTCACCGCTCGAAACACCTCCTGCCAGCGGCATACGGGGGTTGCGCCAACCGGGTCGCCAACATAGCAGAACAGATCCATGCTGCAAATCTCTCTCCTTTCAGTTGACCGCTCGTCTCTCTTCGGCATAAACTGCTCTCCGGGTACGCGATCGGGAGGTGAGGAGATTCATCCACGGAGGCTAGCGCAAGGCTGGCTCGCCGGAAACGACCGATCGTCTCGTTCTCACTAAGCCTGGCTAGTGGGTACCTTTTGCATTAGCTAAGCCTGGTTACAAGCGCCGAACAGGAGGGTGCATTCGGAAAGCTTGGTTGGGCCTTAGCCACTCAATCAATCACACCCTATCTACCTCACGTTTAGCTTGCCAAATCTATGACAAATATTTTTGTTTAACTTTTGACAACTTTTGGTTGCCAAATCTTTGGCTTGGTAAATTTAGGAAATTAACCGAGCAAACCCTTAATGCAAACCATGTTATTTAATATTTATACCTGCAATCTTCATATTCAGCATCATTAAATTTAGCTTGATTCTAGGCTTTGTAAATATAAATGAATGTTGTGTAGTAAACACACGATTGAAAATTATATGGTGTACTTGCCAACCTTTTGTGTTTGCGTGTGATATAACGGTCTCCTTGTGTTTCACTGCTATCATCTCTTTGTGTGGCTGTGTGCTACGTTGTTCACGTTGATGTATTACAGAGAGCAGCCACCATGAAAAGGCACGTGGTCCAGTGGTAGGGCTATTCAGTGAGACACTACCCACAAGGGTTGAAACTCTAGGGTACACGCACGCGTGCCAGTTCGGTGGTACACACCGGAAGTCAGAGAGGCTCTCAATCTTTTTCTTTGCGTGTATACGGATGCGCACGTGTGCGTGTGCGTGTGGTGTGAGTGTGAGTGTGGAATGTGAGGGTTGGGTGCGTCCAAGTTGTACCTAATCAAAAAAGAGAGCGGCCTCCCAAGTGCCATATATTCCTAATACAATACCAACATAATATAGCCTATCAAACCATGTTTTTTCTCATTCATCAATTTGACATATATATATGCCCTACGTTTTCTATATGAATATCTATGTGCTCCTCTACTTATGGCTTAACGATGCTCATGTTGGTACAATGGAATGAGGCTTGTTGTAGAAAAATTGAGACACTTGCGATGTTATATGTTGTTTACCATTCCTTTCTATACTAATGTGTTGGTGCTCATGCTTATCGGCAATTTCGTGATAATCTGCCATCAGAGAATCTATTCCTAACAATTTTTGGGCTCCTAATTAAGGATTTTAGCTGTCAGTAAATTTTTAGGCTAGCTCTTTGTAGTATGTAAATAAACACTAGAAGCAAGAATCTTTTTTCATTCAACCCTCTCGATAGCGTACATAAAAAGGATGGGTAAATGTACATGCTACGCAATATATATAATATACAATACCAATACTCAAGGGTAGCTAGCTCATCTAGATCTAGGCATCTAGCTAGTGCTTAGTGTAGAGCGTGATGTTGGTCCATCGTGACTCCATGCAGCTGGACTGGTCCTGGTGCTGCATGTACACCCCGAACTTGAAGTAGTAGGAATCGCTGGGGATGACGCTGGCGCCAAACTTGCGGCGGCGGTCGACGTAGACAGCCACCGTGGAGGCGGCAACGTCGTGCACCAGCACGTTGAGGCGGAACCAGCGATGTCGGCCTCCACGCCGGCACCGTCGTAGAAGCGCAGGACACGGTCGTAGACGTGGAGGATGAGCACCGTGGCGTGCGCCGTGCCCTCCTCGTTGTGGATCTGCCACCACGTAAGAAACGTTTTCTAGGGGCGACTCGTAACGTTTTGTAGGGGCGGTTTTGTCAGCCGTCCCCTACGAAGGGGTGGCTTCAAATCGCTGATTTGTAGAGGCGGTTCTACAAATCGATTTGTTGGAGCGACTGGTGTTATCAGCCGCCCCTATAAATCGATTTGTAGGAACGGTTGGATATTGAGCCACCCCTAAAAATCAATTTTCAGAAATCACTAAAATGAGGAAAAAAAATAGCAAAATTTTTTTTAATCCGAGGAGGCCCCACCAAACACTCTATCGTTGCAGTATTTTTTTACGATTTTTGCACACTTTGCGTCGGTTGGGTTTCGAACCCGCAACCTCTCACTCACGCGTAAACTCCTCTACCACTGCACCTCACGATCACTTGTATCTATATTTCATTTTGGTTCCCCACATATTATACAAAACTGAGCATAAATTGATTATTTGAGGCCCTAAACTAATTCAAATGAAAAAGTTGTCAACTACAAAGTTTTATAACTTTTTGAGATCTACAATTTTTATTTTGGTTTTTTCTCCATCCGAGGTCACTTATAAAATTTGAATTTTAAATTTGAGAAATTCGAACGTAGTTTTCCATGACAAGATTTCAAATGAGAAAGTTAACAACTACAAAGTTTCATAACTTTTCAAGATCTACAACTTTCATTTTTACTGTTTGTCCATCCGAGGTCGTTTAAAAAATTCAAATTTCAAATTTTTGGAAATTCAAGAAAGTTTTCCTTGACAAGATGATTTCAAATCAAAAAGTTATCAACTACAAAGTTTCATAACTTTTTGAGATCTACAACTTTTATTTTGATTGTTTCTCCATCGAGATCATTTACAAAATTTGAATTTTAGTGCTTAATTTTTAATAGTCGGCATCTATTTGTAGGGGCGGCTGGATATAGAGCCGCCCCTACAAATCGGGCTATTTATAGGGGCGGCTGATAACACTGGTGTAAGAGTGGCTTATTTGACAGCCATTTGTAGGGGCAGCTTAATATAGAGCCGTCCCTACAAAGAAAAGATGGTGTTGATATAAATTGTTTTTTTAGTAGCGTGCATCACCGACACGCCCGAGGTCCCCGACGGCACGTACCCGTAGCCCTCGAACTGCCATACACCCGACGAGTAGTCGTGGCCCTGATGATCGTCGACCATGCGTCGAAGAGGATAGATTATTATATATATTAATTTCGGAACGGCAGGAAATTCATCCGGATCGGAGCTTTGTGTGCATGCATGCTAGTTTACTCGGATCATCACTTCGGAGCGGGGGTTGGTGTGGGTGGCAGTGTTGAAGGGCTTGTCGTTCCGGTACACCCAGAATGTCCGGACACCGTTCCGGTACTGGAACCGCTGGCTCTTCGGCACGTTGTAGGGGCTCTGCACCACGAAGTCGCTGTCGGAGAGCTCCACCTTCTCGAACCTGGCGGTGGGGTCGTCGTTCCCGCCAATGGCCGGCCGCCGCGGGGGCATGCAGCAGGAACGTGCCTATGGCCACAAGAAGCACCAGGAGATGAAGCCATGGGCCTGTGAGAGAAGCCATTATTACTGTAGTCTCCGCCGCAATTGACCAATTGTGGATTGATCTCTAGCAGCAAGCTCTCCAATATGTCTTGGTTCAGATCGATGTGGGTTGTGGAAGACGATCGAGCTAGGTTTAAATAGCAGCCGGTCCGTTCAGCCCAATATATTTATGCATGATTGGCGATCGACGACGACACGCCTGCTGTGTGGATGCAGCATGGAGGCAGATAGCTCGTGTTCACTTTGTCTGACGTGCACTACTGGGATTCATATGCATGATAAGTACGTTCCAGGCGCGTACGACGTACGTAGTAGTCCAGGCGTGAGATTGGACATGGCGGTCGTTTTCTGCTGCGCGTGCTCCCTTGGACTAGGGGTTTCATTTCATATTCAGAGAACAAGAGTGGAAAGGGGGCAAAGCAGCCTTGAAAGCCACCGGATTGGAAATATTACCTTCCTCAATCGGTCTCTTAACATTATTAATAAGTAAATTACCTTCCTCAACCGGTCTCTTAATATTACTAGCAAGAATATCACTAATAGATGTAGCAATTGAAAGAATACGACAGGATTGAAATTTTGGTAAAATACTTATGCTTTGTACCTTGTTGATTATATTAGAGAAGTATATGTCCTTGATTTGAATGGCGTTGCTCTTCGTCTCCAGAAAACTACCAATTGTAACATGTTATGTAAAAGACTCAGAATCTGTAGCGACAACGTTATCAACAACAGGGGCCGAATCATCCGGATACTCATCGGTGGCTTCTGAAACTAGAGAAACCGGCTTGACCAGTTTCGCAGTGTGGTCGGCCAGGGAAACCAGCCTGGCCGGTTTCGCAGCATCAGCCAGGGATGAACTGACCAAGCCAGTTCCAAAACCGGCCTGGCTGGTTTCGTCTGTGCAGCTGTCTTTCCTTTCTTTTTGCTTGTAGGGGCTCTTGATTCTCATCATCTTGATGATATGCTTTATCAGACGAATCTTGTTCGGCTATAATTTGAGGTCCATCGATGATGCAATAGTTACTAGATAAATGCACAACCCCTTTGGCTCCTGAAAAATCAAGTTTAGCCAATTTCTTGCGCTTCCCATGTTTTGACACAACTAGACTTGTTTCTTGAGATGAAGTTGATTCGGAATGGATATTGTTTTGTTTGGTTTTGTCAGCCGAACACTCGCTTATATCTGAATCAACCTTTTCTTTGCCACTTGTGTCAGCCAACAATGTTTTTTTCTCTTTGCATAACTATGGCCATAACCTCATTAGCATCAAAATGATTTTCACCTTCTTGCTGCTTCTAAAAAATGTGACGTTGAAATTCATTTGTCCGAAAAATAAAAGCTATGTATGTTACACTAAGACCAAACTTCCACTCATGCTTCCAGGATCACATGGCAACAAAATATCAGTATTAGTGATTTTCCGTAGGTCACTAATTCGGCCATGGTCAAGCTAAAATCATATCACGAGGAACCCTGGAAACTCTGCTACTACATCTTCATTGATTCGGCTATAGTTATCATGTGAAGCCAAATCATGAGCATTAGTACTAGCATGCCTTAATGAATTTTCATTGATTCAGCTATAGTTTTTAGTAACATAGGAAGCTGAATCATGAGTTTTAGCACTAGCATGTCTTTGTGAATTTTCATTGATTTGACCATAGTTATTAGCAACATATGAGGCTGAATCATGAGCATTAGCACTTGAATACCTTGCTGAAATTTTATTAATTCGGCCATAGTTATTAGAAATATATGAGGCCAAATTATGAACACTAGCATTTGCATATGATGCTGAATTTGTAGGTAGAACATTTGTTCTATTAGCATATCGTGCATCATATGAGAATTGAGAGTAATTGACTGAATAGTTAACATCACCATAGCCAATTCTCTAATTTATCAGCATGTCTTGTGGCGGAACCACACATTGTGGACTTATAGCCGATGAATAAGGATATGCATGTTGTATGTTGCTAGAAGCATTAAAACCCAAAGAGTTCATAGTTGACATCGGCTCTTGAAAAACATGATATCCATAGGCATTAGTCGATGCAACATACATACTATTATTATGACTAGCAACACCAACATGAGAACATATAGGACTTGCAAAATAACTATTAGAACCATAAGATGCATTTGAAAGTTTGTACCTTGATGTATTTGTAGTAGTATATTGTGATGCAACACCTTAGTACTCCATGATCTAGAGATTAACTGCCTTGCTGAAATTTCAATGACAAGTGCAACACGTTGCCAAACTGCAAGCAAGATCACAAGGGGTCAAAATCAGATGCAATCGGCCTTTTTGGGCCAGATGCAACTGTAATAGCGAGCACAAGAAGATAGATCAATGATGAGTAGGGCTAGGGCAAAGTGATTCAGCTACAAAGTAGAGTCGAAGAAATTCTTCCCCAGCGGAATTGCCAAAAAGTAGATTGACACTGAATTGGATCACACACTAGCTAGGGCTAGATCACCCAAGTCGCCACGGACCAAAGAACGCAGCGAGGATACCACACTTATGTGGTAAAGCATGGAAAGGTTTACGAGCAAACCACCAAAGGATAACTAATTATGCTTGCGTGACGAAGAACAGGTAGTTACCAGGCAAACTAGCAAAGGAACTATCGAATCTCTCACCTGAGAGGGACCCCGTGGGGGAAAGGACGTCGTCGGGTTGCCGTAGGTCGGCTAGGAAGCCTAGGGCGCCATCATTGGTCGTTGGATCAAGAGATGAACAACAACATGGAGGTTGGAAGAGAAATTAGGACAAAATAGGAGTAATAGATGTAAAAGTGTGATTGGATGTTGAATGATCCCAATCGGTCGTGATCCTCTTATTTATATAAATAGAGTGGTCTTATCCTAGTAGGACCAAGTCCAGACATCTCCAAGTCTCTCACACCAAAAATAGATCCAAAATCATTTTGGAAACCAATCCGTACGGAATAGGATAAGAAAACCGGCTTGGCCGGGTCCCAAACTGGTTTGAACAGTTTTCACGGGGGCTGGGCAGCCACACAGGCAAGCAAACCACACTCTAGCGGTTTTGTTGCGTGCCAAGCGCAGAAAATCTTCCGAAATTCGTTTTATTTCATCCGGACTTCAAACGAGGCGATCTATATATGTTTTTCGATCAGCTCGATGAGAGAAACGTAACCAGCCAGGCTGGGTCTGGCTAACTGAAACCTCCACCCACCCCCCGCGTGAAACACCGCTTCCTTTGTCTGAGCTCCAAATTAGATGATCCAAATGTGCTTTCTGACCATCTCGACGATATAAATTAATATGATGGTGGAGTCCATTATATACTTGGTCACTTATGGTTGTGTGCTGATGCATATTATTGGCAGCGGTTTCCTGACAACCGGCCATCAGAGACCTATTCCTAACAATTGTTGGGTCATTCCTAAAGACTTTAGCTGTTAGGAATTTTTTTAGCCTAGGTCTTGTAGTATGTAAATAAACACTGGAAGCAAGAATTTTTATTCAAACCCTCTCGATAGTGTATACAAAAGGATGGGTAAACGTACACATGCTACGCAATATAATACAATACCAATACGCATGGGAGGCTAGCTCATATAGATCTAGCTAGCTTAGTGCTTAGTGTAGAGCGTGACGTTGGTCCATCGCGACTCCATGCAGCTGGACTGGTCGTGGTGCTGCATGTACACCCCGAACTTGAAGTAGAAGGAGTCGCTGGGGATGACGCTGGCACCAAACTTGCGGCGGCCGTCAACGTACACGGTGACCGTCGACGCGCCCAGGTCGTGCACCACGTTGAGGCGGAACCAGCGGTCGTAGATGCCGGCCTCTATGGCCGTGCCGCTGTAGAAGCGCAGGACGCCGTCGTAGACGTGGAGCATGAGCACCGTGGAGTGTGCCGCGCCTTTCCCGTCGTGGATCTGCATCACCGACACGCCCGAGGTCCCCGACGGCACATAGCCGTAGCCCTCGAACTGCCACACCCCTGACGAGTAGTCGTGGCCCTGCAGATGATCATGCATCCAAGACGACGACAAAGAGGATAAATATAGATTATTCGTGCGTGCTGGCGTATGCTGGATTATTTGGAACAACAGGAATTCCATACGGATTGAGCTTTTTTGTATTCTTATTACCTTGACCTTCACTTCGGAGCGGGGGTTGGTGTGGGTGGCGGTGTTGAAGGGCTTGTCGTTTCGGTACACCCAGAACGTCCGGACGCCGTTCCGGTACTGGAACCGCTGGCTCTCCGGCACATTGTACGGGCTCTGCACCTCGAAGTCGCTGTCGGAGAGCTCCACCTTCTCGAACCCGGCGGTAGGGTCGTCGTTCCCGCCACGACCGGCCGCCGCGGGGGCATGCAGCAGGAACGTGCCTATGGCCACAAGAAGCACTAGGAGATGAAGCCATGGACCTGTGAGAGAAGCCATTATTGTAGTCTCCGATCCGCCGCAATTGTTGATTGATCTCTAGCGGCAAGCTCTCTCCTCCAAGATGCCTTGGTTCAGATCGATGTGGGTCGTGGAAGACGAACGAGCTAGGTTTAAATAGCTTGAGCCTGCTGTGTGGATGCAGCATGGAGGCAGCTCGTGTTCACTTTGTCTGACGTGCACTGGGATTCATATGCATGATACGTTCCAAAGACGTACGTACGTAGTAGCCCAGAGGCGTGCCATTGTTGGACATGCATGCAGTCGTTTTCTGCTGCGCGTGCTCCCTTGGACTAGGGGTTTCATTTCATATTCAGAGAACAAGAGTGGAAAGGGGGCTAGGCAAGCAGCCTTGAAAGCCACGACAACAGGGGTTGTTCATGCCGATCGATGCCGGACAGGCATAGTTGGCGACGGCGTACGTCGTTGCACGCCGTGCTGGAACATTCCTGCATCGTGGTTTCCACATATGTACATGTGCCTTTCGTGCATTGTGAACATATGCGACAGTTAAGTTTTCT